GTTCCACTGTATGTGTACACCAGGTTGTGTTCATCCATTTATCTTTTCAGTGGCCTCTGGGGTTGTGGTTCTACCTCTTGGCTATTGTGAGTAATACTGCTGTGATCGTGGGTGTTCAAATATCTCTTCATGACCCTGCGTTCAATTATTTTGGATACACACCCAGAAGCGGGGTTAACTGGCCCGTATGATAGTTCTATTTTTTTTTTTTTTTTGAGGAGTTGCTCTACTGTTTTCCATGGCAGTTGTACCGTTTTATAATCCCACCAACAGTGTAAAAGGGCTCTGACTTCTCTACATCCTCACCAGCGCTTACTTCCTGTATTTTTGACATAGTAGCCATCCCAGTGGATATGAGCCAATATATCTCACTGTGGTTTCAATTTGCATTTCTTTGATGTTTAGTGATGTTGATTGAACACTTTTCATATGCTTGTTGGCCATTTGTATATTTTCTTTATAAGAATGTCTATTCAAGTCTTTCCCCATTTTAAAATTGGGTTATTTGATTTTTATGTTGTTGAGTTGTAGGAATTTTTTAAATCTAATATTCTGAATATTAACCTCTAATCAGATACAAGATTTGCAAATATTTTGTCCTATTCTGTGAGTTGCCTTTTCACTCTGTTAATCTCTCTCTCTCTTTTTTTTTTTTTTTTTTTTTGAGTCAGGGTCTCACTTTGTTGCGCCCAAGCTGTAGTGCAATGACATGATCACTGCAGTCTTGACCTCCTGGGTACAGGTCATCCTTCTGCCTCAGCCTCCTGAGTAGCTGGGACTTACAGGTACATGCTACCATGCCCTGCTAATTTTTTGTAGAGACGAGGTCTGGCTATTTGCCTGGGCTGGTTTTGAATGCCTGGACTCAAGCAATCCTCTTGCCTCAGCCTCCCAAAGTGCTAGGATTACAGACGTGAGCCACTCACTGTGCCCAGCCAGATTATGTCTTTGAATGAACAAAAGTTTCTAAGTTTGATATAGTTCCATTTGTCTGTTTTTGCTTTTGTTTCTTGTACTGTTAGTGTCATATCCAAGAAATCATTTCCAAGTTCAATATCATAAAGCTTTTCCCCTGTTTTCTTTTAGGAGTTTTATGATTTGGGTTCTTAGGGTTTTTTTGTTTGTTTGTTTTTGAGTTGGAGTCTCACTCTGTCATCTAGGCTGGAGAGCAGTGGCACACTCACGGCCACCCCAGGATCGACCTGCTGGGCTCAGGCAATCCTTCCACCTCAACCTTCCAAGTAGCCAGAACTACAGGCACGTGCTACCATGCCCAGCTCATTTTTAAAAATTATTATTGTAGAGACAAGGTCTTACCAAGTTGCCCAAGCTGATCTCGAGCCTGCGGGCTCAGGCAATCCACTTGCCTGTGCCTCCCAAAGTGCTGGGATTACCAACTGAGCCACCGAGCCCATCCTTAGGTATTTCAACTCCTCTAGGTAAATGCTTAGCAACACAATTGCTGGATATAACAGTATATTTAGCTTTCCAAGAAAGCTCCAAACTGTCTTCCAAAGTGGCTGTACCATTTTTTATTCCCACCAGACATTAGTAAGAGTTCTTATTGTTCCGCATCCTTGCCAGCATTTGGTATTGTCGGTTTTTTGGATGTTAACCATTATAATAGGTGGGCAGTGGAATCACATTGCTTTGTTTTTGTTCTGAGTCGGAGTTTCACTCTGTAGCCCAGATTGAAGTGCAGTGGCACACTCTTGGCTACTGCAGCCTCAACCTGCTGAACTCAGGCCATTCTTCTCCCTCAGCCTTCCAAATAACAGGAGCTACAAGCACGTCACCATGCCTAGCTAATTTTTTTGATTTATTGTAGAGATGAGGTCTCACCAGGTTTCCTAGGCTGGTCTTGAACTCCTGGGCTCAGGCAGTCCTCTTGCCTTCATATCCCCAAGTGCTGGTGTTATAGGCATGAGCCACTGCATCTGGCCCTCCTTGTTTTAAATTGTATTTCCCTAATGAAATGTGATGTTGAGCATCTTTTCATATGTTCATTTTCCATCTCTGTGCCTTTTTGCCCTCCTCACCCTCTCTGTTTATCTTTTTTTTTTTTGAGGTGTCAGTTCAGCTATTTTGCCCATCCTTTAATTGGGTTGTTTGTTTTCTTGTTGTTGAGTTTTTTTGTGTGTGGTTTTTTTTTTTTTTTTTTTTGAGTTAGAGTCTCACTCTGTTGCCCAGACTGGAGGGCAGTGGCCGCTCCCGGCCACCGCAGCCTCAACCTGCTGGGCTCCAGCGATCCTTCCGCCTCAACCTTCCATGTAGCCGGAATTACAGGCATGCGCTACCACGCCTGGCAGATTTTTTGATTTATTGTAGAGATGAGGTCTTGCTGCCCAGGCGGGTCTCGAACCCACGGGCTCAGGCAATCCACTCACCTCAGCCTCCCAAAGGCGCGGGATTACAGGCTGAGCCACCGAGCCCGGCTTGTTGTTGAGTTTTAAGTGTTCTTTGTGGGATTTGGATGTAAATCTTTGATCAGATATGTGTTTTGCAAATTTCTTCTCCTAGTCTGTGGCTTGTCTTTTTATTCTCTTGATAGTATCTTTCACAGAAGTTTTCAGTTTTAAGGAAGTCCGCTTTATGAGATTTTTTCATTAATGGATTATGCTTTTGGTGTTGGATCAAGAAAGTCATTGCCAAACATAAGATCACCCAAATTTATAGGTTTTCTTTTATGTTGCCTCCTAGGAGCTTTTTGTTTTTTGTTTAGATTGGAAAATATGGATTGTTTGTAAGGTAAATTAGAGAGAGAGACACACACACACAAACACACACTCTGGGGGGACTGAGAAGGAAGGAGGTTCGCCTTCTCAAGGTAGAGGAGGAGCCAAAGCGTAGGACAACGTGGCTTGGCCATAGCTTAGCAAAATAATGGCCCTCCTAGGAGTTTTATAGTTTTGTGTTTGAGTTAATTTTTATTAAAGAGGTAAGGTCTATGTCTAGATTCTATTTTCTTTTTCTTTCTTTTTTTTGGTATATGGATGTCCAGTTGCTGTACCATGGTATTGCCTTTGCTCCATTTTCAAAGATCAGTTGACTAAATTAGTGCAGGTATTTTCTGGGCTCCCTATTCTGTTCCTTTGCTCCCCCACCCCCATATCGCACTGTCTGGATTAATGTAGCTTTATAGTAAAGTTGGGTAGTATCAGTCCTCCCATTTTGCTTTTCCATATTGTGTTGACTATTCTGGGTCTTTTGCTTCTTTGTAGAAACTGTAAAATCAGTTTATCAATATTTACAAAATAACTTACTGGAATTTTTATTGGGATTGCGTTGAATCTGTAGATAAAATTGGGAAGAACTGACATATTGACAACAGTGAGTCTCCATATGCATGAACATAGAATATCTATCCTTTTATTAAAACTTTGTTTTTCATTAGAATTTTGTAGTTTTCCTCATGTAAATCTTGTACATATTTTATTAGATTTATCACAAAGTACAGATAGTCTCTGACTTAAGATTTTTCGACTTTACAATGGTGTGAAACCAATACCCAACCACAAGGTTTCAGACTTTAGGCGCTAGGTATTCTTTGAACAAAGACTCTCTGCGCTGCAGTTTTGACTTAGGATATTTTCTTTTTTTTTTTTTTTTTTTTTGAGTTGGAGTCTCACTCAGTCACCCAGACTAGAGTGCAGTGGCCACTCCTGGCCACCGCAGCCTCGCTTGCTGGGCTCCAGTGATCCTTTCGCCTCAGCCTTCCGAGTAGCCGGAATTACAGGCATGCGCTACCACGCCCAGCTGATATTTTATTTGTTGTAGAGATGAGGTCTCATTGCCCAGGTGAGTCTCGAACCCACAGGCTCAGGCGATCCACTCACCTCAGCCTCCCAAAGGCGCGGGGTTACAGGCTGAGCCACCGAACCCGGCTGGATATTTTCAATTTATAATGAACTGACTGGCTTATTGGGCTGTAACCCCATTGTAAGTTGAGAAGCTTCTGTATTTCAGATTTTTGGTGCTGGTACAAATGATGTTGTTTTTAATTTCAATTGTTCATGGTTTTTCAATATATGAAAACAGGAATCTGTGCTGCTTGAAGCAGAGTAGAGCTATGCTAAGATGTAAAAGGAAAAGGTAATCAGCCTCCACCTTCCCCACCCTCAGTACCCAGCATCATTAACACACTGGCCTATGGTAGTCAAGATTCTTTTCCTTGATCAGTAAACTTGCAAAATGTTTAGTACCTACAACCATTGTATATCAGTAAAGACAGACCACACGGGGTTGTAGTCACACATAGTGATTTTTGTTTATTTTGACCACAGTAGAATCACACAGTGTCATGGTACTCTGCAACTTCCTTTTTGCACTTAACAATTTATTGTAGAGAAGAGGTCTCACCAAGTTGCCTAGGCTGGTCTCGGATCCCTGGGCTCAGGCAGTCCTCTCACCTTCGTGAGTGCTGGGATTACAGGGATGAGCCACTGTGCCCGGCATGGACATTTCATTTCATTACGTTTTTTTCCTTTTTTGTCTGTTTCCATCCCCACTTTTGGGAAATCTAATTAGTAACTGTACTGAATGGATGGTTGGAAGATGTAAGCTCGTCTTCCTGGTTAGACCCTAAATTCTTTAAGTGCAAGAATGTTGTTGTTAGGTGAGTCCTCGGGGCTGGGCCTAGCACAAGGCTGAACATACATGAAGCAGCTGATAGCCTAGAGTTTGTCTCTGGGCCTCCATTTATCTGTAAAGGGGTCAGGGTGGTAGCACCGCTTCATCATGTGTTTAACATGCCCGGCGTATAGTGGGTTTCAAGAAAGTGAGCTTTCTCACTGAGTTTACTTTTCTGGGGGAAATGAGCAGGAAGGAGGAGCGTGTCCTCCGTGGTTAGGAAGAGGAACCAGGCTGGGGAAGGGCCCCCTGCTGTGTTATGGGAGCCCTGTGTACTGAAAACCAGCGGATAAGAGCCCAGGTTGGGGAGACCGAATGACCCCAGGGACCCTTTGGCCCTAATTGCCTTGTTTCCTCCTCTGCTTTTCCAGGACAAGCAGCTGCGGATCTTTGATCCCAGAGCAAAGCCTCAGACTGCTCAGGTGAGTTGTGTGGGAAGTTGGGCTGGGCTGAAGCCTCTGCTCTGGCTGAGGACCCAGTGGCTCCAGCAGATAGAGGTGCAGGGGAAGCCTCAGGCTCCTGGAAGATGTGTCTGTGACACTTGGAGTCCCCGGAGGTGGGCTGCTGCTGCTTGGGAGCTCTTCCTGGGAGGTGTGTTCTGGCTCTTGGGAGGGCCTAGCTTTGATCACGGGTAGGAAAGAGCCAGGCTGCCCACAGGCTTTCTGCCCTGCTACTTCAGGCAGGTAATTTGAGATTCTGACTGCCTTCCCTCTTTTGAGACCCTCATTCCCCCACCTCTCACTTTCTGGCACAGTCAGCAGAGACCAGCTGCAGAGGAAAAAGAAGCAGCCCCCACCCCCTGCACCCCTGCATCCCCGCCCTTGCAGCCATACCCGCAAGACTCAGAGACTCAGTGTGTTTGGGTTTGTGTCTGTGCATGGGGTGCATGTGATCAATTTAGTTCCCAGGGGGGAACTGGGTTCATGCCACAGGCATCGAGCCACCAGGGAGTCATTAATTCAGCATCCAGGCAGGAGCTAGCAGGACCCAGTGCTCAGTACTAGGCATAGGATATTGAAGAGCCAGACACAGGGCTCTGCCCTTGGGGTGATTGCTGCAGGGTTTGTCTTGCTAGGATGGCTTACTGCTTCCCTGAGCAACTGGCTTTGGAGCTGAGGTCTGCCTAAGTAACAAGGGGCAGATGGCCTGAGGTGGGATAAGCTTATCCCAGGAGTCTGTGTGAGGGGCGGGGTGGTGGGGAGGCAGGCCCATAGGGAAGAGCCTGTCACTGGACTGTGGGAAGCCATTAGAGAGTTTCAATTAGGAAAGATGAGTGGATTTATATTTCTACAGAGAGCTTTCTAGAAGCTGAGAGGCTTCTTTCTGGAAGAAGGTAGATTCAGGGTTCTGCTGCCATTCTGGGGAAGCACTCCCCAGCAAAGACCCAGGCCCATCATAGAAACACTCCTCCTCATTTCTAGGACCCGTTCCTCATGCAGGGTCAGGGGTAAACCACCAGCCTAACCCAAATAGTGGTATCCTGGGAGCCCCTGAGCCCCCTATACCACCCATACTCAGAAACCCTGTCACATAGTAAATGGCAACTTTTTGGCCAAGAAGGTGCAGTCAGTTCACTTCTGTCTGACTGAAGACAGAAAGGAGGCCTGTTTGACAGGTGAAATGAGCCTGGCAGAGGGTTTTGGTCATGCCCTGGCCATGCTTCCTGGTGAGGCTGGCTGACTTCTTCATCCCGCCAGACCTGGGCCCGGTGGCTGGTGGCCGGTGGCTATTTGAGTCTGGAGGCAGTGGTGGGTGTAGACAGTAGTCTCACTCAGTAGCTTTCTTTGGCTAACCTCCACGCTTTGCCAGGAAGCAGGTACCAGGCTCAATTTGGAGGAGTGAGGGGCACCCCCTCTCTCTGCGCTCTCAGCTTGTCCTCTCCCCCAGAGCCCCAGGGCACTGCTGGGCACCCACGCTCCAGGCCCTGAGTGGGCACGGGCTCTGAGCTAGCTCCCTGGGTGAGTGTGTTCTTCCTTCTCTCCCCTCTGCCCCCTCCTTCCAGCCTTCCTCCTCCTCTCTCTCCCCTCCTCATCCAGCAGGGCTGGGGTGGTGATTGATGCCGAGGTAGGGATGGAGTGGCGGCTATCCAAGGGGTTCCCGGCTCCTCCTTGTTCTGGAGCGAGCCCTCCTGAGGGGGCTGCTGGACAAGGAGACCTGGGAAGAGCGTGGGTGGCTGCCCCACTCCCAGCTGCGGACTGAGGTCTGTGCATGGTCCCGTGTGGAGACAGTGGGCCTGGAATGCTGCCCTCCTCGTGGCCCTGCCCCCACTTCCGCCCAGGGCATCTGGCCCACACCTGGCTTCTATTAGGAAAACCGCTGCTGGCAGCCAGGGCCGGTGTGAGCTGAGGGGCCAGCTCCAGGAGAGGCCTTCTGGGAGCAGCCTCTCTTTCTCAGGAAACCCTCCTTCCTACCTCGTTGGGGGTATGGCTGGGGTGTCAGGGAGGGCCTGCCATCCATCCAACCTTTGTTCCCTCTGGGTCTCTCCTCACCTGAGCCTAGAGGTAAGGGAGGGCCCAGGAGTCCTCTGTTCAGGGTCTTTGAGCCCTGCCTTTGGCAACCTGAGTGTAGATCAGGGACCCCTGGGGGCTCCCTCCTGTTACACCCTCTACTGAGTTTATTTATTTATTTATTTATCTATTTTTTGAGTTGGAGTCTCTGTCACCCAGGCTGGAGTGCAGTGGCATGCTCATGGCCACCACAGCCTCAACCTGCTGGGTTCAGGTGGTCTTTCTGCCTCAGGCTTCCAGGTAGCTGGAACCACAGGCACATGCCACCACACCTAGTTAATTTTTTGATTTATTGTAGAGACGAAGTCTTGCCATTTTGCTCAGGCTGGTCTTGAACCCCTGAGCTCAGGCAATCCTCTCGTCTCTGCCTCCCAAAGTGCTGGGATTGCAGACTTGAGCCCCCATGCCTGGCAGCCTACTGAATTTTTAGAGTGCATGTGTGGCCATGTGTTATGTCCCAGGCACTTCCTTTGAGGTAGGGAGGGTCAAATTGGAACCAAGATTGGTTCCTTTGCTCCAGGGTCCCACTGCAGACTCAGGTTGGCTTGTGTGACTCTGGAGTCCCTGGGCCCTCTGTGCTGCCCCTTCCCTGTGCCAGACCCCAGGGAGGGGGTGCTGTGTGAAGACCTAGAGCTGAGGCTGTTCCTGGGAGGTTGCAGTAGCAAGTGGCCAGGCATCAGGTGTCTCAGGCAGGAGGAGGCTGGAGCAAGCCCTCTGACCTCCAGCACAGGCAAGTGACCCTGTGCCTGCCGAGTGCCCCAAGGTGTCAAGCAGGCCTGGGGCGGCAGTGAGCCTCAGAGCCCAGCACTGATCCCAGGGAGGAGGGGCAAGTCTACCATAGTGGCAGGCCTCCTCACCCAGCCAGGGCTGCCCAAGCTGCCCTACCGCCCTGCTCCGCACAGGAAGCGTTGCCATGGTGACGGAGGGGTTGGCTGCGCCACAGCTGGAATGTTGGGCATGTACTCCCCCTGTGCCTTTGTGGGGCTGATGCTGCCTGGCCATAGCCTTCCTTTTCTTTCAGGACCAGGTGTGGGGGCCTTCTTTTGTGGGACTGAGGGGCGTGAAGCCCTCTCAGAGCTTTTCCACGAGCAGGATGCCCTGATGCCTGAACCTACGAGTCACTTTGCCTCTGAGCAGGAAACCCCAGGTGGCAGGGCTGGGGCTTCAGGGTAGCAAGATGCTGGATCCCATCTGCAGCCTCCTCCTGCCCCCACCCAGGAGAATGAGAATCTGAGGATCTGGGAGGAGGGCTCCTCATTGATGGTACACTGAGGCCAGTGAAGAACTTTCCCTTTTCTTTCCTCCTTTCTTTTATTTTTTAATTAAAAAAATTTTTTTAGAGACATGGTCTTGCTCTGTTGCCCAGGAGAGTGCAATCGTTGCTCACTGTAACCTCAAACTCCTGGACTCAAATGATTTTCCCATCTCAGCTTCCTGAGTAGCTGGGACTACAGCTGCACACCACCACACCTGGCTAATTTTTTTTCATTTTTTGTAAAGACCGCGTCTTGCCTTGTTGCCCAGGCTGGTCTCAAACTTCTGACTTCATGCGATCCTCCTGCCTTGGCCTCCCAAAGTGCTGGGATCACAGACATGAGCCACCTTGCCCAGCTCATTTTTTTTTTTTTTTTTTTTGAGTTGGAGTTTCACTCTGTCGCCCAGACTGGAGTGCAGTGGTCGCTCCCGGCCACCACAGCCTCCAACTGCTGGGCTCTGGCGATCCTTCTGCCTCAGCCTTCCACGTAGCTGGAACTACAGGTGCGCGCTACCATGCCCGGCTAATTTTTTGGTTTATTGTAGAGATGAGGTCTCGCCTGCCCAGGGGCTCAGGCAATCTACTCACCTCAGCCTCCCAAAGGCGTGGGATTACAGGCTGAGCCACCGAGCCCGGCTTTTTTTGTTGTTGGATTCTCACTCTGTCGCCCAGGCTGGAGTGCAGTGGCACACTCACAGCCACTCCAGCATCAACCTACTGGGCTCCGGTGATCCTTACACCGCAGCTTTCCAAGTAGTCAGAACTACAGGCGCGTGTTACCATGCCCAACTGAAACTTGCCATTTTTGGTACTGAAAATCACTCCAGTGCTCAAGGGCTAGAGGGGAGGGGAGGTATGGCCACTGAACCCCTCCCCCACCTGGAGGGCTTCCTGTGGCCCCTGGGCAAACCAAGCTGGGTGTGCCCACAGTGGGGAGTGGCTGGGCACAGCCTAAACTCTTTTTTTTTTTTTTTTTTTTTTTGAGTTGGAGTCTCACTCTGCCCACACTGGAGTGCAGTGGCACGCTCCTGGCCACCATAGCCTCGACCTACTGGAGTGGCCACCACAGCCTCGACCTGCTGGGCTCCAGCGATCCTTCCGCCTCAGCCTTCCAAGTAACTGGAACGACAGGCGTGCACTACCACACCCGGCTATTTTTTTATTTTATTGTAGAGATGAGGTCTCGCCAAGTTGCCCAGGCGGGTCTCGAACCCGTGAGCTCAGGCAATCCGCTCACCTCAGCCTCCCAAAGAGCAGGATTACAGGCTGAGCCACTGAGCCCGGCTACAGCCTAAACTCTTACCTGGTCTCAACTTCCCTGATGCCCTCCCTGGCCTGGGAGCGCGGATGGCTGAGCTGACTGCCCTGGAGAGCGGGACTCACCACCCACACCATTGTGCCCACAAGCCACCGTCCCCCGGCAGTGTGAGTGCACCTAGATGTTCTCTGGAAAACGGAGTGTCTGGGAGCACCTGTTGTCCCGGGCTCCTCCTGGTCCTGTCTCTGGTACCTCCTATCTGTGACTCTGTGCAAGTCTGTTATGGCTGCGTGCCCTGGGTCCCTGTCGTCTTGGGTCGGTTGAGAAGAGAGTGGCAGGCCCAGCCCCCAGGGGCAGGGAGGCTCACATAGCCCACACCTGTGTTGCTGGGCCTGCTGGGCCTCTTTGGGTGATGACTTCCTCTCTCTGGGTCTCTGATTGCTCCATGTATGAAATAGAAGAGGAAGGTATGAGCCAAGGGACATCCTGTCCCTAGGCTGTGCATCTGGATGAAAAGCACTTGATGGCAGTCCTTGGGGTGCCTCTGGCCAGCATCTGCCTCCCTCACCCCCTCTTGCCGTCTGTGCTGGCCTCTCTGCTTCCGGTTTCCGACTCTTTGCAGACCCTAGTCCACCTACCTGGCTCATGCATACCAACCCTCAGGGCTTAGTTCAAATGTTAACTGACACTGACTTTCCTCACGTGGATTCCTGTTGCACCCTGTTATCCTGTAAAAAAAAAAAATGCACATTTGGCAGGCACAGTGGCTCACATCTGCAACTCCAGCACTTTGGAAGTCCTAGGCAGGGGGAATTACTTGAGCCCAGGGGTTTGAGACCAACCTGGGCAACATAACGAGACCTCATCTATGCAAAAAATCTAAAAATTAGTTGGGCATAGTGGCACACACCTGTAGTCCCAGCTGCTTGGGAGGCTGAGGTGAGCTGTGATCATCTCACTGCATTTTAGCCTGGGCAACAGAGTGAGACTCTGACCAAAAAAACAAACCAAAAAAACACATTTGATAGGTGCCAGATACCTTCCTGAGCACTCTGCAAGTGTTACCATTTACTCCTTGCAGCAGCACTCAAAAGTAGGTCCTGTTATGGTGCTTTTTTCAGATGAGCAAACTGAGGTACAGAGCCATTGAGTGACATCCTGGATTGTGGCCATGGGTGGGCAGTCTGAAGTTTGCCAAAACAGTCTGACTCCAAAACTGGCTTCCTTAACCTCCACATCCCTCCTTCATGGCTCTTAGAATAATGTGTAATGATTCAGTTATATCTGTTTGATCGACATCTGCCTCCCTGACATATATAAAGGCTTTGGGGACATTTTCTGTATTCTTCACAGGGTTGCCAGCGCCTAGTCTAGTGTGTGGCTTGAATATCCATATTGTGAGAGAACAGATGAATGAACAGCACTGCTTCCCCCAAATACTTGACCCTCTGTATAGAACTGTCCTGCCCCACTGCCAGCTCCTAGTACAGTTCTTGACATGTTTGTTGAGTGAATGCATGATGGATGTGTGTACAAGTTGGGAGCCATCTGGTGAGCTGCTTGCACAAGGGGTCTTTGCACACTGATGAGAGGTAGAAAGCCTAAATGACACTTCTGACCCACTCTTGGGTGTTGGGTGCAGGGCTGGCCAATGGTGTGGCCCTTGTCTTGACTCTACAGCCCCCCTTACGTGGAGTGAGGGGTGTGGGGTCCCGGTTCTCAGGCTCTAACTCTGACTTCCTGTGCTGGCTGTGGCCTGGTGGGAAGGGAGCAGTGAGAAAACCCCTTGAAGGACAGGACACGAGCCATTTTCGATGGTCTCCCACGCTGGGGTCACCCTCCGCGGACTGGGGAAGGGACCCAAGGTCAGCTCCTGGCAGGCTGCTTCCCTCCCTTGTTCATTCCCAAGGAGATCGTGAGAAGCTGGGAGGAAGCTGGCCATGGCTTGGGGTGAGCTATTTTTGGTAACAGGGTCCTTCGTCTCAGACATCTCAGGCTCTGGAGGCCAGGGTGACTGGGAGGGAACTGTTTGCATTTCCTCGCCCCCTTTGGCTTCCCCCTGCCAGGGCCTGGGGCTGGGCCCCGCCTCCGACACAAGCTTCTCTCTCTCCTTCCCGGACTGGGAGCACCGAGGGGCACAACCCTGCCCCCTCTGGAAGCTCCTGAGCAGGGCCCCAGCCTTGCCTCCTGCCAGGGGCAGCAGTAATCCTGAAAATCCCTTGTTTTGCACGGTGCTTTGCTGCAGGCCCCTGTCCTTCAACATGGCTACAGCCTGGGAAGTTGGTGGCACAGTAGGGTGAGCCCAGTACACACATGAGAAAAGCAAGGTTTCAAGAGGGTGTGGGGGTCCCAGGGTTTGCAGCTCTTGGGTGTGAGAAAGTGCCAGCGCCTTTAGCCCCCAGAGCTGTGGGAAAAGGGCCTGGAGTGGGGCAAGGCAGCATGCCAACCTTCTCAGGAGGAGGAAGACTGAGCCAAGCTGGCTGGTGAGCTGGCCTCTGGCTGCAGAGCTGCCCTCAACTGGGGCTAGGGGGTTCATTCTGTGCTGCATAGGAGACCGCACCCTGTCCCTGGCCACAGGGGAGAATGACTGGCCTCTCCTGGCCTCTGTGGGGTGCTTGGGCAGCTCAGGCCTACTCCAGGGGCTCCTCACTCCTGGCAAGGGCCCTTGAGGGCTCAGCGCCCTCTCTTGCCTCCTGCAGAGCACACCAGCCCATGAGAACAGCAGGGACAGCCGACTGGTGTGGACGGGCACCCAGGAGCACCTTGTATCCACTGGATTCAACCAGGTAGGGGACTCCTCCTAGATGAGCAGGGCACAGTCAGGTGGGGATGTGTCTGGCCCTTTGGGCTCCTGCCCCGAGAGGATGAGGGTGAGGCCACTGGGAGGTGGGGACCGAGGGCCAGTTGCAGGCCTGTCCATATACGGCCTGGCTGTGCAGCGGGTCTCAGAGCCCCAGGGGACCAAAGGCAGATGAAAACTGGCAGATTCCATTTGCAATAGCTAAGCCTGACCCTGGGAGCCATGGGGGCTCCACAGAGACCAGAGTCCATGGAGGGAACAGCCTCTTGTCCCTTGTACCTAAGGGTTCTTAAAGAGGCAGAACATGAAAACCCAAACTCTCTCTCCCAAGTGTAACTCCACCTCCAATCCAAGCCCTGCCCTAGCCAGGTTTCTCTGTGCCAGGTTGCACCCTCAGGTGCTGAGTTCCCCACAAGCCCTGGGGTTGGGCTGAGGGACCGGTCCCTCTGAGCCTCTCTCTGGCTCTCCTGGCAGATGCATGAGCGGGAAGTGAAGCTCTGGGACACGCGGCTCATCTCCAGCGCCCTGACCTCCCTCACCTTGGACACCTCACCTGGGTAGGAGCTGTGGCATGTGCGTGGGCTGGGGAGGCCAAGGGCCCAGGCCCAATGTGGGCGAGGATGCCTGTCAGTGAGGCGGCCAGTCACCCGAGTGTTCCGGGGGTATCTGAGCTGGGTTGCAAGAGAAACCTGGCCTGTGCCCATCTGGCCCCTGACCAAGCAGAGGGGCCTTGGTCATAGCAGGGATCACGCAAGTATGACTTGACATCTGGGGAGAGAGTATGGATCGAAAGTGCAGGAATGTGCTTGATTTTGCTGAGGACATTTCAGTGGGGCTGTGGCCCAAGGCTGTGATGGAAAGGTGACTGCAGGATAAATATGGGCATCATCGGGACAGACTGGCAGGTGGGAGGTGGGCCTTGAGCTCCTGAAGTTTATGAGGCTACTCACATGGCTGTCCTGCTTGTCCTGGGGTCTGTCCCCAAGTGGGGCTAGTGCCCAGGCATCCTGCGGGGGAAGTCCAAGTGCATCTCATCCCTCCATCTGCCCCCTCAGAAGTATGTGGAGGAGAGTTTGGGGAGGTGCCCAGCAGGCCCCTGGCCAGGCCCAACAAGCTGTATGCAGAGATGGCCTTGGTCCACTGTGGCCCAGGAGGCCAATGGCAAACATTTTGAGTCATTTATGTTCAGTCTGCATGGTCACCCACGTCACAGCAGAGGAACTGAGGCTGGGGAGGAGGTTCAGAGGCTTAGCCAGGCAGGGGTGTGCGAGGCAGCTGGGACTTGATTCTTGTTTTGAAGCCTCAGCCTGTCCCAGCCGTGATTCACGGAGGGTCTTGCTGGAACTTTCCCAGGCAGGGGGATCTGGGACTCTTAGAGCCAGGAAAGGGCCCTTATCCTTGGCTAGCTTGTGTAGCCCCTTCCTTCTTCCATTGCACAACTGAGGAAACTGAATCATGGAGGGGCAATGACTCATCCAAGTTCCAGGAGTAGTCAGGGTGGCGTGTCTGGGGACAAGGAAGGCTGCACAGTTTTCTTAGAATCATCTAGAAGAACCCCCACCTGAGTGCCAGTATGAGCTCCTGCCAGGGGCTCCCCCAGCTGTGATTCCCCTCAAGAGGAAGCATAATGGTGAGGGTGACAGTGACCCTCTCTCCCATCCTGTCACAGGGAGAGGCTGAGAAACTGGTGAGGCCTATTTTACAGCTGAGAAAGTCATGACTGAGCAAGATTCAGTGCCTTCCTTAAAACCCTCCCGAGCCAGGGTTGCTCTGAGCCCTGGAGGTCCAGAGAGGAGTCAATAGGACCCACCCTGCCCGGGAGGAATCAGAGCTTCCTGGGCCTTCAGACTCCACATTCAATATCCGTCCCCATGCCTCCCACCCTGCTGCCTTGACATCTTGTCATCTAGGCCTTTTCAGACCAGACAGCCCCTTCCCGCAGGGCCCCTAGCAGAGGCATTGAGTTAAGGGACCTAGTACCAGGGAGCCAGTGCTCTTCTGCCCACCACTTCCTGTCTTCTAGGCTCTGCACTTAGTGACGCTATCTTCCCCACCCCCCACAGGCATCCCCTGCCTTGCTTGTGTGGCCCCTGGAGGAATTAACGATGCCCAGACCCTACGGTGCCACCGACCAAGGCTGACCCTGTAATTACAGCAGTTAAGAATAGCCTTGAAGGACCAGCAAGGACTGGAATTTCTTAAATCACTCCCAGATGGGTGGCTAGGCCAGTGTCCCGCCCCGTCCACCCCCAGCCCTGGCCTCTGCCCCATCAGCCCGGCACGCTTGGCAAGGGAGCTAGGGCTCTCCAGCCTCCACGAAGGTGCTCGTGGCTGCCAAGAATTCATGCCAGCCTCTGGGCTATTCTGAGACATGGTGGGTCTCCTGCTCCCCCAGGTACCCTGGAAGCCAGAGCCCCTCATGACTCCTTGGAGTATCAGGCCACTCAGTGAATCTGGACTGAGGATGGAAAGTGTGTGGGGTGTCATCTGTGGGCATGGCCGAGGGGGAGGTTGGCAGCTGTGTCCACTCCATCGCCATCGATTTCATTTCTGTTTTACAGATTTTCCACTTTGGTTTGGGCAGAACAGTTTGTGCGCTCATGAGAGCTAGAGGGGGCCGGGGTCAGGCACAGATCCCATGCCCCTCCTTGTCCTCTCCCAGGAGCCTCCACTGTGGTTCCCACCTATGTCCTTCCCCTCTCATTTACAGAGTGTCTAGGAGGAAGCTGGCCACAGCGGGAGGAGTAGGGGCTGGCAGCCAGGCCAGCCTCCGGGCATTCGGGTCCTATCTGTGAGCAGGGCTCAGGGCCTGGTCCACAAGGGGCTGTCCAACACTGTGTGCGCCTGGCCCCGTGCTTGGCACAGGGTGGAGGCGGGGAAACAGGAGGGACTGGCAGAACCTGGTGCTGAAGGAACAGGAGACACAGAGACATATATCTCAGGTGCTTTCTGGGGATAAGTTGAGGTGGGGGAGTGTGTGAATGCATGTGAGGTGCTGAGCGAACTGTGTTGCTCCCCCCTTTCCCTCCCCCGTAGCAGCAAGTCCTGTTGCTTCTGTGGCTCACAGCAACCCCAAGCCCATCCGCATCAGTGGCAATCCCGTCCTTGGTCAGGGAGCAGGTATTGGAGTCCTGTCTCCACTTACCATGGGCAAGCTACTGTCTTCTCTCTCTGAGGCTATGCCTCTTATTTACTGGGGGTCGTTGGGCATGGCATGAGCACGTCACCCACAGAGCACAGGGCATGTAGCAGTCAGGACCTGGTGATAAGGACCATCACATCCCATGTCTGCCTCTGTTCGTGGGGCTGTATCTTGGCTGGGTCCCCTTTGGCCTCAGGTTCTCCCTTCGCCTCCCCGTCCTGATATGATGAGATACCCTGAATTCCTGTCCTGGGAGAGCTCCTTTCTTTGAGTCCTGTCACCCCTTCCCCCACCACCCAACTCGGCCAGGTTTGCTTTGCAGCGAAAACATTTGTTCAGCAGCCATGTGTTCATGTGTTCAGCAGTGGCCCTCAGGTCCACAAAGGCCCCTTTGACGGGGCTGCCGAGGGGGAGGCAGGCCTGACCGCAGTCACTCCCCTAATGGGACCCAGGCCTACAGGAAATCCACCTGGGCTGCTGCCGCCGCCGTTGCCTCAAGAAAAAGGGGCCCTACCTAGGCCCACTGCCACCACCCACTGCCCACATGACCCACCGCCCACCTCCTTCCTCCCTGTGCCAGAGCCCTCAGCAGCCGCTAATTGAATCCAGAGCCTCACGTGGCTAGGCCTGACTCTGCACTGACATCAACACCCGAGCCGCAGTGCCGCTCCCCAGGCAGGGCTGGGCGATCTCGTTCCTGCCAGGGGTGAGGCTGGTGACTGGGGCTGTGACCCACAGGAGGGCATTGGCATGGCACCTTTGGGAGGCTCACTTCAGTGTTTTCTGTGCCCCTCTGCAACCTTGGGGCTCCCCTCCTTCCACCCCACAAGAGTAATAGGAAAAGGTACCGTGTGTCTGTCACTGTGCTTAAGCTCTCTGCACCCTGGTTCAGACCACAGCTGCACTTAGCCTCCCTGCCCCTGCCCCCACCTCAGCCTGCAGCCTTCCTGGAAGATGCTCCCACTTCGGGGTTTCCAGAAAGCCTGGGCACATCCCTAGCACAGGGATGGGGGCATTCGAAGGTCAGCAAGTCTGGCGCCATCTGCGAGCCAGTCTCAGCCCTTGGGTCCTGTCCCTGAGCCTGCACTGATGGCTCTGACTTGGCCCCTCCCTTCTCACCTGTCAGGAGTTCTTGCCTTCAATGGTCCATGCTTCCCCTCCCACCAGCAGCCTCCCTACAGATGGGAGCAGAAGGTGGGGAGTGGGATTTCCCACTGAGCCCAGGCAGTGGACTGGCAGAGAGGCGTGGGGGCCATGCATATTGCTTGGCCAGCCCAGGACCCTGCAGGAAGGTTCTGGAGGCTGTCCTGGAATGAGACAGCTCGTGGCACTGTCCCTTGTGGAAGGCAGGCAGTGCAGTGCCTATCAGACCATCCCCAGGAGACTCTGACTTTCCTGGGACCCTCCTCGCCTGTGTCTGCCATGAGCCTCTCCCAGCCTCACATGCAAACTTGGCTTCTCTGGCTGGCAGAAGATGGCCTGAGTGAGGCTGCCCCGACCCATCCTCTTCCTGAAGCCCGAGGCTGCTCTTCCCAGCTGAACCTGGCCTCACTTCACTTGAGCCTGGGGTGATACACGTAAGCCCAGATGCCTGATAGGGCCTCCTCCCAAGCCCAGGAGAAGCTGCCTGGGGGTCCTATCCCCTAGACCCCCACAGCAAGGGCTCTCCCTTCCTGTTCTCCCTTCACCCAACCTACGGATCCTCAGCTGAGTCTAAGAAACACTCTCATTTAATTTTATCTTTTATTTTTCTTACAAAAGGCCTTCATATCATTGTCTTACAAAAACCAAAGACTTTATCTCTGAGTTTGAAAAAACATCTTCCCAGAATAAATGGGAAATGATCTCTTATAAATATATTTAAAAAAAACAAAACAACAAAAGCAAAACATGTTTCTAAAGCATCTTCCTTTCCAGTTTCTTTTGTTCCTTCACTTCCTGGGGCTGAGACTAGAGTCACACGGCCCTATCCCCCACCCTGCTCTCCCTCTGCTCTCTTTCTGGTGGCCTCCTTCACTGGCCCTCAGAATCTCTTTGTGGTGGGAGAGCTCAGCAGGGCCCCAGCCTGTGTTACCAGCACACGGCAGGGTCTGCCGCGCCCAGGGACTGCACTTACAGAGTCCAGGGCCAGAGGCTGTCCTGGGTCTTGCGGGACATTAGAACTCATCATCAGGTTCGCAGCATCTCACAGATAAGGAGACTGAGGTTCAGAGAGGGGCAGGGACTACCTTGCCCATGTCCCCTTGGTACAGACTGAGAACTTCCTTGGTGCGGCAGCAGGAGGGTGCTGGCCATCTCACCAGCTGACAGCCCAGCCCCTGGCCACCTGTCACTCCCAGGCTTAGATGTAGGGCTTTGCATGGAGGGGCCCCTGGAGGCCAGGCCCTGGGAAGCCCATGAGCGGTGCCTCACATTCAGGCCCACTGGGCGGCACCTCCCTGCCACCCTCTGTGGTCTTCAGGCCTGACTCCAAGGGGGCCTTGCCCCCCTCCAGCTCCAGGGGCCCGGCCCCCGGCCCCACCTGCCCCTTGTCCTGAGCCGCTGCTGCCACAGCCCTCCCCCGCCGCACACAGTAGGCGGCCCCTGCAGCGGCCAGAACAGCCAGGAGCACAGCAGCCAGGGCAGGTGCGATGAGGAGTGGCAGGTTGCCCTCGCGGGCCTGGGTGACTGGGGCATGGTTGGAACGGACGGCAGGGGGTGTGTGGGCCTCCCCGCAAGCCTCCTCGCCCTCAGGCATGCGCCCAGCTCCCAAGGGCATGACACAGATGGAGTAGGTGGCGTTGGGCCGCAGCTGGGTGACTGTGTACTCAGCAAGTGAGGCAGGCAGCCGCAGCGTCACTAGCCGCTTGTCAGGGCCTGACAAGTTGCGGTAGGTGAGGCGGAGGCTCCTGAGCTGCACAGTGCTGCCCTGCAGGTAGCGCTGCAGTTCCACGCGCAGGGAGGTGGGGCTCACCGGCTCAATGCCAAGGGGCAAGGGTTGGGGTGGCCTTGGTGTGACCGGCGAGGGGCTGGGCTGCATTCCCTGCGCCACCTGGTTCTCACAGTACAGGCCTCTGAAACCCTCAGGGCACAGACACTCCAGGTGGTGCTGTGGCCCCAGGCGGCAGGTGCCCCCGTTGAGGCAGGTGGACGGTGGGCAGTCCTGGGGCTGGGGGACAGGCTCTGCAGTCAGTGGGGCAGTGGATGGCAGGTTGGGGGCCTTGGTGGCTGGCTCTGTGGGACTGAGCCAGGTGGGAGCCCAGCTGGTAGGCAAGAGAGTGGGCTCCCAGGCCATGGGCCTCGTGGTGGGCACTGTGGCCGTGGTGGTGGTGGCCGGGCAGCCAAAGTCGGCATAATCCAGCTCCAGGAGTAGCCGACCGGCGTTCTTCGGTGGGAAGTGGCAGCGCGTCTCCTCGGGGCTGGCCAGAGTGACATGGCTCTCGCGCACCCAGGGGCCAAACCAACTCAAGGGGCATACACAGTTGAAGGGGTTGCGGGCAGCTGCCAGGAGCCGCAGGCGGGGGAAGAGGCCTGTGAGGTCGCTCGGTAGGGCCTGCAGGTTCAGGTTGCTCAGGTCAAGCTCCTGCAGGGCAGTCAGGCCAGCCAGGTCCTCGGACCGAAGCTGGGCGATGCGGGTGTTGCCAGCCAGCCGCAGGCGCATCAGGCCCCGCAGACCCTGGATCACAGGTGGCACGTGCTCCAACTGGTTGTCAGACACGTCCAGGTCATGGAGGTTGTGCAGGCGGCTGAAGAGCCCCTTGTCCAGCTGCCGCAGCCCTAGGCCAGCTAGCCGCAGTGCCTCCACATTGGCGGTGTCCAGGACGCCAGGCTCCAGAGCCAGGAGGCTGTTGTGGCTGAGGTCCAGCAGCAGCAGGCGGGGCAGGTGCAGTGGGGGCAGTGCCCGCAGCTCGTTGTCCTGCAGCTTAAGCTCCAGGAGATGGTCGAGTGCGTCAAAGGCTCCAGGCTGGATGTGGCAGATGCGGTTCTTGCCCAGGTAGAGGCGCTCGAGGCGCCGCAGGCCGCGGAAGGTGTCGTTGGTGATCTCGTGCAGCCTGTTGGCAGTCAGGTCCAGGTTGCTGAGGTTGACGAGCGGCTGGAAGACCCCACTGGGCAGGCTGGCAATCTGGTTCTGTGATAGGTCCAGGAGCTGTAGGCCCGGCAGGCTGGCAAAACTGCCCACGTCAAGTGTGGTAATGCCGTTCTCAAAGACATACAGGCCCAGCGTGTCAGGTGGCACGTCTCGGGGCACTGTGGTTCCCTGGCGGGCAGTGCAGAAGACTGTCTGGGGCTGACTGCACTGGCAGCCGGATGGGCAACCCTGCACCCCAGGCCCCAGGGCTAGCAGCAGGAGCAACAGTCGCAGCAGGGGTGTCCTGGAGCACATCTTCTGTCCCTGGAAACAGAGGAGGCAGAGACAGGAGACCATGAGTCAGGGGCCCAGAAGGGCCATAGAAAATTTCTTGCTCCGCCCGTAGATGCAATAGAGTCCAGTAGTTGTGAGTCAGGTCTCCAGTGCCCCTGGCCCAGTTCCTGTCCCAGCCCCATCACTTGCTCACCATGTGACTTTATCATTGTGATATCAGCTATAACAAACATTCAGTGGGCTGATAGAGGCAGAGGTTAGCACAGGCCCCAGTACCCACCGAGCATTCAGTAACCACACCCTGTACCGTCTCTTCCTCCTCCTCTTTCATCTTCCTGAACCCCAGGCCCTCCTGCCCTTGCCTTAGTGGGTCCCACACACCCCCTCATCCCCTGCCTCTGAGATTGACAGGGAAGAAGGGAGAATTGTGTGTCCTGGAGCAGCCACCCCTCCCTGAGCATCTAGGAGAGACACGGCAGGCAGACGGATGCGTAAGCAGAGAAGTTGGCTGCCCCAGCCGCTGGCCCCCGCCGCCACAGTCTGTGTTCCTCCCTCCTCCAGAGGAAGAGAGACTGCAATGGGAAGACTTCACATGGAAACTATGGGATCGGTGATTTTCCACTTGTGAAGTCATACCTGCCCAGGATGGGGGATGCAGGCCACCAGGATGTGGCCAGCGGGAGGGTTCCTGGAGGAGGGGCAAAGGCTGCAGCCGCTGGCAAGTGTCCCCATCAAGTGGGCTTAGGAAGGCAGGGAGCCGTCCTCTTCAGATCCCCCATCTCTGAGGCTGATGACAGATAGAAGGAGGGGTCCACAGGGTTCAGGTGGGGGGACAGTGGTTGCATGGTGGCCCCAGGGGCAGTGCAGGCCTGGAAGAGCTGTTCATTTGTCTGTTTCTTTTTTTTTTTTTCTGAGTTGGGTGACTCTGTCACCCAGACTGGAGTGCAGTGGCCGTTCCTGGCCACCGCAGCCTCGACCTGCTGGGCTCCGGCAATCCTTCTGCCTCAGCCTTCCAAGTAGCCGGAATTACAGGCATGCGCTACCACGCCCGGCTGATTTTTTGATTTATTGTAGAGATGAGGTCTTGCTGCCCAGGCGGGTCTCGAACCCACGGGCTCAGGCAATCCACTCACCTCAGCCTCCCAAAGGTGCGGGATTACAGGCTGAGCCACCAGCCCGGCTTGTCTGTTTCTTGAAGTCTGCCCTAGTCGGGGCCCTGAGAAAGATGAACAGCTGCTGTCCCCTCAGCAGCGATCTAAACAAGTTCCTCCCATGTGCAGCACCTGCGAAGCATTTATAACCTTAGGTGGTCTCCAGCTGCATGTCAGGGGGAAACAAGAGAAAGTGGGGCTCATGGAGGTGGTGACTTGCTGCCATCGCAGTGCCATCGAGTCTAAGCCAGACCCTGGATCCTAGCCATGGCCAGCACAGTGGGATGCATGCCTTCCAGATGTCCCGGGGGCCAGTCACTCCAGGCTCTAGCCCTTAGCTAGTATTGCCCATGACAGGATGGGCCCACAGCTCACCCCATCGCTTAGGCTCCTAGGGGTACAGGGGTGCCCGGGGGCCATACCCAGGTGCAGCCCTCACCCTTGGTGCCCCCAGAAGTCCCTGAGCCTCGGATGGTGCCAGCCCATCCCTGGGAGGCATTCCTGCCCACTGGCCAGCACCCACCCACCAGGCACCTGCTGCTCACACAAGGGCCTTTTGTGTTGGAGCCAGCTTCCCCTCCCCCACGCTGGCCATCCAGCCATGCAGGTAACACGACCCCCCGCCCAGCCTGCATTCTGCCCCACTGTCCCCAGTTGCAGGGAGGGACTCATCCATGGGGCTCCTGGGATGTGAGGAGGAGGAGCAGATGATTCCAGGACAGACCACACAAGTGGGGTCTGGGGCCAGCTCCAGGTGAAGGGGTAGGCCTTGTCCCCCAGGTTGGGCCTGTGCTGGCTCTGCCCACATGCGATGTCCCCTGCTGGGGTCGTCTCCCCCAGGAGCCTCAGACCCCAAGCTCCTCGCTAGTTAACAACAACGAACACCCTGGGGGATGCGTCCTGACCCCACGGAGCCCCCGGCCCTGCTATGCTCTTTCTTTCCTGAGGCCAGCTCATTGGCTCTTGCGCCAGGTGTCTCCGAAGCCCACTTAGCTTGGCCTTGCATTCAGCTGGAGTACCCCAAACCTGGGGCCTTGTATGTCACTGGCCCTCTGACATTGCCCCAGGGGGGCTCTTATCTGATGACCTAAGGCCTTTGGGTCACACCCTGGTCATCTCCCCATGGGACCTGCTCCACCCGGACTGACTCACATGACAGACAGCTGGTGTGACCTGTCTTCCAGCTGTGGACTGGGAGTGACCCTGCCCACCCCACATCCATGTTCAGTGTGAGGTCACCTCCCCCTGAATCAGCCCTCCCAGCAGAGCCAGGCTGGAATCAGGAAGGGAGCAGGTTCTAGGGCAGGAGGGGACCCTACACGTGGCCGGTCCGGCTACCACTGCAGCCTCAGCTCCCCTTGGGCCTCATAGAAGGTCACAGTTAGGAGCTCTCTCTCCAGGCAGGCAGCCCTGGTCTCAGAGGTTTCCACAGACAGTGCTTTAACCCTTAGCACCTCAGTGTCTTCATCTGTGTATCTGAGATGATTCAGGGCTGCAGAGGGAGGATACATGTGGCACACTTAGCCCTGAGAGATGGGAGTCAGCCATAGGCTCTGGGCTTCATAATCCATTAATCAGCAAAGTCCAAGAAGGTGGGGTACCCTGTGGGTCTGTCTGGAAAGAATGGCAATCTGGCCAACAGGTGATAAGCTGTGGAATGTGTATCAGAGTCAGTGGGGCAGGGGGCTGGGCTAAGGAGATCCTGACAGGTGCCCCAGCCCCCCAAGATGCAGGGTGAATTCTGCCTGAGCCTCAATTCCACCCTGCCCCGCACAGTGAGGAGGGGGCAGCAGGAGGCAGCGCTAGGGGCTTCAGAATACCCAAGTGTGCATGCTACAGGCTGGCAGCTTCAAGGGCTCCACCAGGGGCTCCCAGCACTGAGAACTGGTCAGACAGCCCAGGAAGGACCCAAAAAAGGCAAAGGTCGGCCACAGAGGGGGCGGGTGAAGGGGTGGCAGGAGACAGAGCCTGAGTTTGGGCCCAAGTTCTGCCTCTACATGGAGTCCCAAGTTCTTTTCATCTGTGCATCTAGTTCTCACCTTTGGAGTTGGTATAAGCAGGCCTGCCCCCTTGCCCCCTGGAGTTGTGGTTTTTTGGTGTTCTATTTGTTTTTAAACAGGGAAATTCTTTTAAGTGATTCTGGGAGATATCTCGCCTGCCTGGGGCCTGGGCCTGTCCCTGGTGTGTACATGGGGCAGGGTGTCTTATTGGGTTCATGCTGGGGTTGCCACCTTCCATGCCATCCCCTACCCCCTTACAGCAGCTCAGAGCCTGGGCTTTGATATCTTGCCTGCTAGCCAAGGCGTAGGGAACATGCTGGAGGCAGCCCTGGGATTCGGGGGATGATGGGGAGCAACAGTGGGATCCGGGGTTCCCTCCTCTGCTTGGATTCCTCAGCCTTGCTGGGCTCTGCTGTTAGCCTTGCTGCCCCCAGGACACAGCAAAGTTAAGAAAGCTGGGGTCTGTCTGGATAGGGTGGCAGTCTGTCCAGGGCACAGTGCCTGGAATGGGGTGTCAGGGTTCACAGCCTGGCCATGGCCCCACCTCAGCTCCCATCTGCAATGGGGCTGCTCACTGCGCCTGGTTCTCAAGGTGGTCTAATTTGTGCTCAGAGCACATGCTAAGTGGTCAGCAAACACAAGCAGCTGGGGTGTTACGAAACCAGAGCCCTGCCTGCCTCACAGGCGCAATACTACAATGGAAGAGGGGCTTTGCACCAGCTTTATATAGACAGGATACCCTGGGCCCAGGGTCAAGACCTTGTATCCTTAGGGTGGGGTATCTTAGTTCTGGTGGGGGTGAGCTGTCCTTTGGCAAGCCCCCTTCAGCATATGACCTCAGGGAGGGGTCTATGAGTAAGGAAGACAAAGCATTCATCATCTCTACTTTCAGGGGACCCAGAGTGCCCCTGGGCACATCCCCAAGTGCGTGACACACTTGTGGGTACCCCTTCACACGCACACCCAGGGTCAGGCAGGGATGAGTGAGTGGGGGGTGCGGCTGGGGTGGCCCTGGGAGTCTGGGTGGCCGCATCAGCCCTCAGCTAGCGTAGCTCCCTGCTCCTAGGAAGGCTATGTGCCCAGCCAGGTAGAGGACAGGCTTGGACAGTCAGAGGCCTACACCCCATCCCATGCCAGACACTTTGGAGTGGGTGCTGGGGATGGGTGCTACAGGTCTGACCCTGCGGCTCTGGGCCCCAGCTCCCCGTGCTGGCCCGCCCAGGCTCTGCACAGCCGGCCAGGCCTGGCAGCAGCCCAGCCCCAGGAGTCTGCCAATCCCCTCCAGGCAGGCGGGACTGTGCCGGCGGCCAGGACGGCTGGCTCTGGTTTCGCTGACGTGTCAGAGGAGGCTCAGGGCCTGGCTGAGTCCGCCCGTCTCCCCTTCCTTGGGACACAGCAGTCCCTAGCCCAGCAGAGCAGAGAGATCAGGGGTCTCTGTTCAGGACCCTCCCAGAAGGGTAGAGGGGGCTGGACCTCAGGCTGCTCTGGGTGGACCCTCTCTCCAGGCGGGGGTGCCGTGTCCCTGGCTGGGGATGAACCTAGGAGTCCCCACTGATCTCAGCCTCGGCTACTCCATATACCACCCCAAGCCAGTTCTGTTCATTCCACAGATAATACCACAGCCAAAAGCTTAGTCATATATTCGCATGCTTTGTGACCTCACCCAAGCTCCCCCCCCTCTCTGGGCTTCCATCTCCCACCTGTAACTCTGGGGGCTTCTCAACCTGAGCTGCAAATCAGAATCACCCAGGAAGCTTTTTTAAAAATCCAGATGCCCTAGGCCCCACCCCTAGACCAATTAAATACGAATTTCTGGGGGTGAGGTCCAGGCAGAGTTGTATTTTCAAAAAGCTCTCTGGGGCACAGTGGCTCACATCTGTAATCCCAGCA